TAGACATCCATTATTTGTTCTATGTTCCATCTCTCTCTTCTTTTCCCTTTTCTTGTTGTTTTCCTCTCTATGTTTTTTACTCAGCTGACTTTTCATGATCTGCTTATCTGTTCTCCATTTTTCATTTGGATGAAATAATAGCTGCATGAATCATGACAGCAGACAAGATAGAGGAGAGCAGGAGGCGGGGTTACCAATCTACTTGCTCTGGAGAGCAGAGTTCACTGCTTTTAGATGTTGGCGCCAAAGTCTCTAGTAGTAGAAAAAAATCGCTAGCTTTGGCGCTAGGAGCTTTTAACAGAAAATTTAAAATAAAAAAGCTCTAGAGGCGTCTGAAAAGTCACTAAATATAGCTGAGACATGCTTAATATTATCAGCGTTCTGATGGCATTTTAGCCAAAGGATTTTTATCCAAATCATAATTAATGTGCACAAATAAGGAATAATTGTATTAACTATACATGTAAACAGAGTTTTATGGGCCCCCAGGAACTTGGGCCCCTAGGCAACTGCCTAGTATTGCCTGATGGTAATTCACTCCCTCTGTTAAAGCTGCAACACAGTCTGCTGAGTATCTTAGCATGACTTGTAGAAAATTGCCAAAATAGCATTAGGAATTAATGTGTGAAAATCATAACCCTAAAAGTAGACCTAAACCACATTTCATGTATGAATATTTGGGGTCTGTGGAAGCGTCTGGTGAAAACTCACACTTAGGCTCAAACCCAGGACCTTCTAGCTGTCAGGCAGCAGTGCAAAAACAGTGTATGTTAAACAAATCAACACTGTAACATCTACAACTGTGTACTAAATGAAAACTACTGGTTTAAAGGATTTTACAAGCATATTAAAGCACATAGATAATGAGAATTAATAACATTCTCAACAGTGCATGCTGTTTTTACAGAAGCAGATTAATAAAATGGTTGTTTTTTAATGTGCTAACACCTCCCACAGTGGAAATGGAAAATATAGAGTTTTATTATTATGACAAATGTCACACAGAGTTAGAGTATAAGGAAAGATAGTCAACATTCATGATGTGTAATTAATGACTGAACAACTTTCAAAGGTGATGACCTTTGAAAGTTAATCTTTTTCTTTTTTACTGCCTCCAGGAGTTAAAACTACAGAAACATTGCTTCCTGTGGTTATGTAAAGTAGATGTTTAGCTGTCTGCATAAAGGAGCAGGGATAATGCTGATTTTGTCAATAAAATGTTTAGAATCCTGGTACTAAAAATTAAAATTTAAAATCCGTAGTGTCCTCCAAGGTTATGTTTTTTTGCTGATCAAGCAGCGCGGTGCAGTCAGGGATGTAGTATGCCCTGCAATTAGTGCGCTGCTGGGAAACTTTTTTATGTAATCAGCTGTTTCACACAATGGGGGCAGCTTTACCAGATATTAAAAACTAACAAAAATCTGTGGATGACAGAAAGCAGAGTTAGCAATCCATCCATCCATCCATCCATCCATCCATCCA